ACCACAAGCCTTGACGGATGTTACTCGTCTAAATTTCTTCGAAGTAGCGCGCGCCGGGCCAGATCATTAACAATGGTCAACACAAGCCCAACAGTCTCTCCAGATATAACCAAAGCCGAGCGCTTTTCAAATCATTTAAAAATGATTCAAATCATTAAAAAATACGATACAATTTTGTCTCAACTTCCAGTCCACCTTTAACAGATCGTTACCAAGATCGATCACATAATGAAATGATCTGATTGGTGGAATTTTTCTCATTATCTGATAAGCTCATCCATTATCAGTATCTTTTATCACCCGATCGCAAACATTTTACTCTACAAATCTGTATCATCTTAAATCAATGAGATTTCATAACTTTATACAACATTCAAAATTCACATACAAATCTATAAATAATCAAGTACGTTCTCCTCAGTATTACTCACTTACTCAAGTTCAGTGCGATAGTCCCTTATACTATTATTATTACGTAAACGCTACAAACAAATTAAATACGAATAACACCTCACAAAACTAAACAACACAAAAGCAACCACTCTATTCGATTACTATTTTTCAGCCAAATCAGTTATAATCATACTGATAAGGCCCCAGATAAGGACACTTTATTTCACTTAATTCATATAATTATCCGAATTTAGCTTATAATTTAATTTACTTTTAGATGTAGATAGAAATCATATCACGATTCTGTAGCATACAGGACCTCCGGTTCTCGTGAAAGAATCTGATTTGAACTATAGTTTACTATACTTTTCATTGTTTTATATACAGTATCATAATCATAATATTTAGCTCTAAATGGAATCCACTGTTAGTGTTACATCTGAAAACAAAATCAAAATCAAATGTTCAAGCTGCAGCGGCTGGTGTTACTCTATTAAAAATATTCGCACATGCTCATGGTGTCAAAGTAATGTCCATTGCAGCACCAAGGAATTGATACATGCTCCGCGCGCGAGAGCCGAGAAGTGGCATGCAACGTATGTCAACCAAGGAATAAGAATTTTAGTGCTCAAAAAATGTGTTTCACTAATTATTTTAGTCTCTTGAGTACTCTTAATTGACTGCACCATTTTAGGGTTAAACGGGATCTTGCTAGTAATAGTATTGTCAGGATTGTTAACGGGTGATACTCGTAAAATATTTGTTTCACGAGTCTAATCTCGGCGCGCATCTTGGTAGGTTATAAATAGGGGGTGCACGATAAAATAAACTTGCTCGGATTTTAAAAATTTTTGTAGTATTGCTTTCTAGAGACTGTGAGAATTTTCACAATATAACAAATTTGTCATACCTTTTCGAAAAGATCAGTGAGTTTCGCCTAATAGTGCCATATTTGATGCTGCTCAGCTTATGTAGCAAAAGTAGCTGTAAAAGTTGCGTAATTTGACCAAATTCGTTGATTTTTGTCGTATTATTTTGATATATCTTTGGTTACTTGAATGAGATCATTTTGAAAATTGGCGACGACCTTCCAATACTAATAGGGCTTTCACAACTGTCCGAAAAATTTGGTGGATATTGGAGTTGGTATAGTAATGAAAATGAAGCAAAATACTTTGCTTTTAGCTGTAACCTAATGTTTGATGGTTGGACATGCTTGCTTTAAATTTTTTGGACACTTTCCTTGTGAGTTATTATAAGTAAGCTTACAAATTTTTGTTAAAATTGGATCAAGGGAAGGTTACTCAATACGCATTTGTTTCAAGAATTTTGTACTGGCCGAAATTAGCGCTAAAAAAACATCCTACAGTCGCGGCACGCGCGGCTCACTGTCGATGGCACACTACCTATTATAAACCTACAACAGGATTGTAGCTTTGAGCTTGACCATTGTTAATGGTCTGGCCTGGCGCGAGCTACTTCGTAACACTTAACATTTCGAGATAAAAGTGGCGCGCGCTACTTTGTAGGTTTATAACCTACCAGGACGCGCGCCGAGTTGGACGAGATATTTTACGAGTATCACCCGTTAAGCGCTTGTATCACGTTGCGACCCCCACGGTCGTTTCACTATGGTCCTGACGATACAGGGGAAGCTGCGCACTTTGTGCGCGGCGGGTCATACAACGTATGACAATTAAGTGCTACTTCAAAGAAATTTAGACGAGTAACATCCGTTAAAATTGTAAAACGATGCGTTACTAGGCCGCGTCGCGCATCCAATAATGCTTATCGATCGTTGTTAGATCGGCAAAATGCGCTACTGGGCCTCTTCGAGCTGCGAAGAATTGACACCGTCAATTAACTACTAGTATAAGGAAAACGTAAAAGCATGTACACAGAATTGTCGAAATAGCTGATCTTCGCCAGTTTTCTAGATTTGTTTATTAAATTTTCAAAATATTTGTTTTTATGAGTAAGCGTACTGTTTTTTACATTTTATATGAAGGGACATGTAAATACTTACAAATTGACATTTCCAGAATATACTTAAACTAAACGATTTTATATAAATCAAACTAAACGATTTTATATGGTTACATGGGTTACAGAGGGGTACCAGAACTCTTCCACCCACGGAGATAAGTGATTTCAGTAATTTTGACCTTTACCTGATTAACACTCCTAAACCTTAATATAAAGGGTCATTGAGTGCTTGTTAGGTGGGGGTCTAAACTGATTTTTGTTGTGATGTGATGTGGATTTTATTTTTAGTTGACCATTTATATATTACAAAGAGGTTTTTTAAAACCCCAGTTTTAAAATTTTGTACCATTTTTATAACATTTAATTTATTGTATTGGTTTATTCATTTTCGAGGGTGTCTATCCTTATTATAGCTAGACAATTACCATTGCTGAAATTATCTGTATACTGTTCGAAACATTTTCAAACATTTTATGCATGGTTTTTCAAACAAATTTTCAGTACATAATTCGGAAGTCTATGGTTCCTTTTAAACAGCTGTGCATGCGAAGCAGTTGTGCATACGAAGCAGTACAACGTTTTTCGAGAGAAATCTTTTTGAGAGAAATCTTTTTCGAGAGAAATCTTTTTCGAAATAAATCAGCATATTTTTTATTAAGTTTTAAAATTTTTAATATTAGTGTCTAATTTTATAGTCGGACAGTAACCATTTCTAAATCTATCCGTGCTTATTGTTTTGATGGCATCCACTTACTTCCTTAACAAATTCAAGTCTATTTTTCTGATTTTGCTAATTGTCTCTTTAGATCTGTTTCGGTCTTCCATTGTGGGAGTTCCCACATTTTTGGTTGAGGATGCTCAACATAACATACATGATGCTTGACTGCTTTATTGACCCGGGCAGGCACTGGGGTCAAACATCCCAACACCAGTGCGTTTGGACATAGTGTTAGTTTGCTTCAGGATGTGTTAGATCCCAAAGAAGCCGTCATCCCCTCAACTGCTTTAGCTCAGCAGCAGCAGTTTCCTGCCACATTGATACCTCTGAAAGTACAGAAAGATCCTCCCTCTTTAAGGTGGTATTTTTTCCCTAAGATGTGTGCAGAATCTTGATTTTATTATACCAAAATTGTGATCCAAGGTTGATAGATAAATGAAATTATATGAGACCGTACAACTTTATTGGTTTCTAATCTATCTAGTTGGCTAAATCATGAAGAGATTCATTTTGTCCCTAAAGAAATCCATCTCTCTTAATAAATGCTTTTTGCGTGCTGCCCACACTTTGCACCAAAGTAGACATTTTATCACAATGGGTAGCGGTAGTGTGGGGGGACAGTCAAATGTCAGTGCTTATGTGCAAAACTCCTCAGCATTTTTAGCATTGATCCTGAAACTTTGCTCAGAAACTGTAGGAGAAGACAGACTTTTAGACTTGATTTTCAGTTCACAGGATTGAAATTTGCTCACATAATACAATTACACATAGGTAATTAATAACTAATTATGTGTATTAACAATATTTTTCGATTGAAAGCAGCTGATAGATATCACTACCCTCTACTAACTACTACTGGAAAGATTTTGACGGCACAAATGTTATTTTCCAAAAATTATAACTGGCTGGTCACACATATTTCAACTTAATTCCCCTAGGCTAGTGTTTTCTAAGTCTTGTCCTGTGAGTAAAGTATGTGTGAGAAAGTTTTGATAAAATAAATCTATTTTTGTATCTTTGTATTTTTGAAATTCAAAATGAGAAGTGTCATTTACATTTTTAGCACTGTAAAGTTCAGAATATTTATAAACTATTATATCCATTAATGCAAAGCCCATAATGTTTCGCCAGCCCACCGATAGATAATATTCACCTTCAAGCGGAATTTTATTTTCTTGATTTACACAACATAAATTTAAGCATAATATAGCCTAGTGTTTCTGTCACAACAAGACTGCAATCCTTAGTAACAACACTTTATTTCTCCCAACAATGTCTGGTCCAAGTAAGAGCCTTATCTCCAAAAACTCATCTGGACTTTAAATGTTTTGGTGTGTGCAAAAGCTTTCAGGTCTGCACATTCCTTGCCCCTTAGTTGCCTGTCCATTTTCAACCCAATTAGAAGTCAAGGACAGAAAGTCATACACCAAATAAGCATTATATTTTCATTGTTATAAATTTGTTGATTCGGTAAAATGTGCTAAAATTAAATTTCTTGTTTCATTGAAAATTTCTTGTTTCATTGAGAAACAAAAATCGATTTTCAGAAAACAGCCCCTCCTGCCCCCTTGAGTCTTTGCTTGTTATGTGTCAATCTGTAAGGGTCTGCCAGCCATGATCAAGCTTTTTGGCAAAGATCATTTCATTCCTGATTATTAGACTGAGTGGGCTGCATATAAAACCTAAAATGAAATTCACTCCATGGATTGATGGCACTAGTAATGTTTAAATCGGCAACCTTCTGCTTCTGAATTAAGAAATCACTTAGTACTGCACCAACCCCCTCTGTGGTGTATTAGACTGTAAAGTGTAAACCAATCTACGATTTACAATTAGATTTAATATAGTAAAACTGTGAAATGTTTGATTATTAAAATTTTCAATTGATTACATTTCTTTTATTAGGATTATTTGACAATTCTCAATTATGGAAGATCCAGTCATAAATGATGTTCATCATGACTTTGATGCAGGTAAGTTCTTTGTGTAACTGGCATGGAGACGAGATGTATTTAGAACAAATTAATCTGCTTATGATTCATTGAAAAAGTATTCATCATCAAATGTCATCTTAATTTTATTACCTGAAATAACACAATCAATGTTGTTTGTACTAGTAGTAAAACAATTCATGAATATGGTTCGTCAATTTTCCATAATTTAAGTTCATGTTAAACCTTCAGTACATTGTGAACGAATTTTAGATACATGTAACATGTATAATTTGTATATTGTATTATATGTAACTAAACTGACATGGAGATGCAATGCAAACACTATATTGATCTGCTTAAGGGTTAGGATGTGGATGTCTTCATGAAAATTCCAGGGAGATTGCTGTGAAGAAAAATTTCGAGACTTGATTTTCAGTATTATATGTTATTGAAAATTGTCTTGCAATACCATTACACACAACTCGCAAGCATTGAACTTTGACCAGTGATAACTTCTGCTTGGAAAACTATTTTTCGATGAGACCAAAAGCAGCTGATAGATATTACTCCCCTCTATTAGAAACAACTAAAAATTCGATGTCAAGGAAATTTTCATGAAGATCCCCCTGCCCTCTTCAGATTCATTGACTGGCCAATAGATATAGTTCACAATCAAATTTTTTCTTTAATTATCACTTGGAATAACATCATCAGTATTTTTAAAAGTAAATACGGTAAATCATATAAAAATATTCAAGGTGAGTCACTATGGTAAATTGTAAAAGAATTTTATGCAGTACAGGAGAAAACAACATGACTGAGAATGAGTTATTTAGAATATATATTCGCATTTATCCACACTATACTATATATAGTGTGGATAAATGCGAATATATATTCTAAATAACTGATAAATGATATTCCACACAAAGCATGAAATTGTGCTGTATATGAGTGGTGATTTCGCTCTGAGAATCAGGGTCAGTAGCTCAATTGGTAGAGCAAGAGACGCGAAATCTCGAGGTTCTGGGATCATTCCCCAGTTGTCCCTAGTTTTTCAGAATTAATCATCACATATAGACAGCATGAGAGTAGGCCTGGCCATCTCGAACTGAGAATGAGGTTTAAAAGAAAGATGTCAAGAAGAAGATCATGAATCAATTAAACCAAAAACGAGACTAAGACTGAGACCAAGATCAAACAAATACAACTTGTCATATTATTGTGAAAAATATACCAAATAGGATAATTAATTAATTAAATAAGAACGAGATAAAAATAGGACCAAGAAGAATATCATAAACGAGACTCAGCATGAGACCAATTAAGAGAACAAGAAGGAGACAAAAAACGAGACCAACTAGATGAAATAAAAAATAAGACTGAGATTGAGAATGGTATCAAGAATGAGGCAACATAGGTCTTAAAATTGCTAGTCTTAGTTGTCAGATGCAAAACCTGTTTCTAAAGGAGTTGCTAAAACTCAGATTTATTTCAACAGGCAATAAGTGAATATATAATCAGATAAGAGGAAATTCTGACTTCTAAAACAATAAGTCCTCCAGGGAAAATTGATGCTCCTACTCCAGGAAAAGCAAGTCCCTCAGGTAAAATTACTGCTGAGAAAGTTATTTCTCCAGAAGAAATTGCAACTCCTGTATTTGGTTCAGATGCCATACCTCTTTTGAAGCCTTCTTATTCTGAAACTCTAATAGGGCCAGGAAGTAAGTTCGGATGGTCATGTTGCTAATTAAACCTTATTCAAACTTTAATTACTCAACAGGAAATAACTAATAAGTGGGTGAATCGGTTGAAGTAATTTATTATCTTTTGACTTCTGAAATACTAAGCACTCCAGAGAAACTTGCTACTCCTGGAAAAGCTAGTCCACCAGAGAAAATTGCTATTCCTACTACTTCTGAAAAAGCCATGCCTCCTAAGGAAATTGCAGCACCCGTATTTGGTCCAAATGACAAACCTCTTTTCAAGCTTTTTGAAACTGAAACTCTAACAGGACCAGAAAGTAAGTTTGGATGTTCATGTTGCTAAAACAACCTATTGAAATCAGATTATTCGGCAGGTAATAAGAGAGTAGATTCTAGCTAAAGTTATTTATTACTTTTTGACTTCTGAAATAGTAAGTCCTCCAGGGAAAATTGCTGCTCCTAGAATAGCTAGTCCCCTCGAGGAAATTTGGAGTCCTGTATTTGGTCCAGATCCTAAAGCTCTTTTAAAGCCTTTTAAAACAGAAAGTGTTAAAGGACCAGAAAGTAAGTTTGTATCATGTTCATGTTGCTAAAAAGCCTATATTTGAAACTGAAAAGCCTAATGTTTAAAACTCAGATTATTCAACTGGCAATAGGTGAGTAAATTGGTAGAACAGATTTATTACTTTTTGACTTCTGAAATATTAGTGAGTCCTCCAGAAAAAATAGCTGCTCCTACAGCTGGAAAGATTGGTTGTCCAGGAAAAATTGCTATTCTAGAAAAGGAAATTATAACTTCTCCAAAGCAAATTGCAGCTTCTGATGACAAACCTCATTATGAGCCTAGCCTTTTGAAATGGAAAATTTTCAAGGGCAAGAAACTAAGTTCACGTTTTTATAGAAGCCAAAATTTGAACAAAAATAAACCTTCCATTGAAACTGCGATTATTGAATGGGTAATAAGTAAGTAGATCGGATGAATCCTTTCGAAACCTGAAGCACTTAAAGGGCCAGAAAGTAAGTTTGGATGTTCGTGTTGCTATTAAAGCCTAATATAGTTGAAACTCAGATCATTTGATGGGCAATAAGTGAGTAAATTGGATGAAAATGCTACAATTTTTGACTTCTGAAATGGTAAGTCCTCCAGAGAAAATTGCTGCTATTGAAAAAACGAGTTCTCCAGAGAAAATGTCTGCCTCTGAAAAAGCTAGTCCTACAAAGGAAATTGTAGCACCAGATGCCAAACCTCTTTCGAAGCCTTCTGAAACTGTAAAAGGGCCAGAAAGTAAGTTTAGATGTTCGTGTAGCTTAAAAAGCCTATATTTGGAACAAAAAGAAGCCTAGGTCATTGAAACTCATTCCATCATATCCAACCGTCAGTAAGTGAGTGAATTGATTTAATCAATTAATTAATTGTTTGACTCCAGAGAAAATTGCTGCTCCTGAAAAAGCTAGTCCTATAAAGGAAAGTGTAGCCCCAGATGCCAAACCTCTTTCGAAGCCTTTACAACCTGAGGCACTAAAAGGGCCAGAAAGTAAGTTTGGATGTTTGTGTTGCTATTAAAGCCTAATATAGTTGAAACTTAGATCATTTGATGGGCAATAAGTGAGTAAATTGGATGAAAAATGTTACAATTTTTGACTTCTGAAATGGTAAGTGCTCCAGAGAAAATTGCTGCTATTGAAAAAACGAGTTCTCCAGAGAAAATGTCTGCCCCTGAAAAAGCTAGTCCTACAAAGGAAATTGTAGCACCAGATGCCAAACCTCTTTCGAAGCCTTCTGAAACTGTAAAAGGGCCAGAAAGTAAGTTTGGATGTTCGTGTACTAGCTTAAAAAGCCTATATTTGGAACAAAAAGAAGCCTAGGTCATTGAAACTCATTCCATCGTATCCAACCGTCAGTAAATGAGTGAATTGATTTAATCAATTAATTAATTTTTTGACTCCAGATAAAATTGCTGCTCCTGAAAAAGCTAGTCCTACAAAGGAAAGTGTAGCCCCAGATGCCAAACCTCTTTCGAAGCCTTTACAACCTGAAACACTAAAAGGGCCAGAAAGTAAGTTTGGATGTTTGTGTTGCTATTAAAGCCTAATATAGTTGAAACTCAGATTATTTGATGGGCAATAAGTGAGTAAATTGGATGAAAATGTTACAATTTTTGACTTCTGAAATGGTAAGTGCTCCAGAGAAAATTGCTGCTATTGAAAAAACGAGTTCTCCAGAGAAAATTGCTGCCATCGAAAAAGCGAGTCCTACAAAGGAAAGTGTAGCCCCAGATGCCAAACCTCTTTCGAAGCCTTCTGAAAATGTAAAAGGGCCAGAAAGTAAGTTTGGATGTTCGTGTAGCTTAAAAAGCCTATATTTGAAACAAAAAGAAGCCTAGGTCATTGAAACTCATTCCATCGTATCCAACCGTCAGTAAGTGAGTGAATTGATTTAATCAATTAATTAATTTTTTGACTCCAGATAAAATTGCTGCTCCTGAAAAAGCTAGTCCTATAAAGGAAAGTGTAGCCCCAGATGCCAAACCTCTTTCGAAGCCTTTACAACCTGAAACACTAAAAGGGCCAGAAAGTAAGTTTGGATGTTTGTGTTGCTATTAAAGCCTAATATAGTTGAAACTCAGATCATTTGATGGGCAATAAGTGAGTAAATTGGATGAAAAATGTTACAATTTTTGACTTCTGAAATGGTAAGTCCTCCAGAGAAAATTGCTGCTATTGAAAAAACGAGTTCTCCAGAGAAAATTGCTGCCATCGAAAAAGCGATTCTTACAAAGGAAAGTGTAGCCCCAGATGCCAAACCTCTTTCGAAGCCTTCTGAAAATGTAAAAGGGCCAGAAAGTAAGTTTGGATGTTCGTGTAGCTTAAAAAGCCTATATTTGAAACAAAAAGAAGCCTAGGTCATTGAAACTCATTCCATCGTATCCAACCGTCAGTAAGTGAGTGAATTGATTTAATCAATTTATTAATTATTTGACTCCAGATAAAATTGCTGCTCCTGAAAAAGCTAGTCCTATAAAAGAAAGTGTAGCCCCAGATGCCAAACCTCTTTCGAAGCCTTTACAACCTGAAACACTAAAAGGGCCAGAAAGTAAGTTTGGATGTTTGTGTTGCTATTAAAGCCTAATATAGTTGAAACTCAGATTATTTGATGGGCAATAAGTGAGTAAATTGGATGAAAATGTTACAATTTTTGACTTCTGAAATGGTAAGTGCTCCAGAGAAAATTGCTGCTATTGAAAAAACGAGTTCTCCAGAAAAAATTGCTGCCATCGAAAAAGCGAGTCCTACAAAGGAAAGTGTAGCCCCAGATGCCAAACCTCTTTCGAAGCCTTCTGAAAATGTAAAAGGGCCAGAAAGTAAGTTTGGATGTTCGTGTAGCTTAAAAAGCCTATATTTGAAACAAAAAGAAGCCTAGGTCATTGAAACTCATTCCATCGTATCCAACCGTCAGTAAGTGAGTGAATTGATTTAATCAATTAATTAATTTTTTGACTCCAGATAAAATTGCTGCTCCTGAAAAAGCTAGTCCTATAAAGGAAAGTGTAGCCCCATATGCCAAACCTCTTTCGAAGCCTTTAAAACCTGAGGCACTAAAAGGGCCAGAAAGTAAGTTTGGATGTTTGTGTAGCTTAAAAAGCCTATATTTGAAACGAAAAGAAGCCTAGGTCCTCATTCCATCATATCTAACCGTCAGTTAGTGAGTGAATTGGTTTCACCAGATGTCAAACCTCTTTCGAAGCCTCTAAAACCTGAAACACTAAAAAGGCCAGAAAATAAGTTTGAATGTTTGACGTCTGTGTTGCTATTAAAGCCTATAGTTGAAACTCATTATATTATATTTTGATGAGCAATAAATGAGTAAATTGGATGAAAAATGCTATAATTTTTGACTTCTGAAATGGTTAGTCCTCCAGAGAAAATTGCTGCCCCTACTCCTGAAAAAAAGAGTTCTACGGAGAAAATTGCTGCTATTGAAAAAGCTAGTCCTACAAAAGAAAGTGTAGCCCCAGATGCCAAACCTCTTTCGAAGCCTTCTGAAACTGTAAAAGGGCCAGAAAGTAAGTTTGGATGTTCGTGTATATAGCTTAAAAAGCATATATTTGAAACAAAAAGAAGCCTAGGTCATTGAAACTCATTCCATCATATCCAACCGTCAGAAAGTGAGTGAATTGATTTAATCAATTTATTAATTTTTTGACTCCAGATAAAATTGCTGCTCCTGAAAAAGCTAGTCTTACCAAGGAAAGTGTACAAAGGAAATGATAATATTAATAATAATAACTAGAAATTTATTCATCGCTTTATAGCCAAAAAGAACTCAAAATCCAAAGATTCAGTTCAAGCCATCTAAAGCGACTCATGAACATGTACATAAGAACTTAGCATTTTATGAAGTATGGTTTGTATGAGAAAGATATTATATGATACTTATATGAACACTTTTTCAAAGAGATGAGTCTTTAGTCTCTTTTTAAACAATGTACAATTAGCTTTGAAATCCTGTATTTTAAACCAAAAAGAAACTTAACATTGAAAGTCGGATTATTCACTATAGTAGGCAATGGTAAATTAGTTAAAGTAACTTATCAATTTTTATCTTCTAGACGTGTGATACGTTTTCTTTTTGATGGTAGAAAACTATCAATTAGAATCACTAACATTAGTCCTGAAGTGATGTTAGATATAATTTGTTGCAGTAAAAGCCTTCCTCCCCTGCCAAAAATATAGTGTAACGTATTATAATCATTTGTAGCCAGTATTTATGGAATTGTAACTGAAAATCATAAATGATTCAATATAATGTAAAATGTTTGCAGGTATATTATTTGAAAACTTCCAATTATATCGGAAAGTAATGGTTCAAAATATCAATTAAGGAATGTTGTGCTAACTTTAAAATGTTATGTTGTTCATTCCCACTCCTGCTTTGTTATGCATTAAGTCACTCATTTTATTTTGTGATGCATTTAGTCACTCATTTGCACTGTTAAATTTTCATGAATGGCTTTTAAACTCCTTTTCATGAAAATCGAAAGCATATTAAAATTCAAACTCAAATCATTGTTGTTCATGCAATCTTTAATTCGAACAAATTACGTTCATTATGCATTTTGTGTATGTGTGAGTCTAGTGCATTGTAATCTTCAGATTTGCCCAAAGTTGAGGACGCTCCCGACAGTCAAGAGGGTGCAGCATCAACAAGTAGTTCTGATGAACCTAATGATCTCTCACCTAATGACCACGTTCCAGATAGTCCTGGTGATGATAAACACGAAGAACTTGAACCAGACATCGCATGTAATGACCAAGCGGCTGACAGCCCTGATGACCATGGTCCAGACAGCCCTGTTGATGATGCACCAGACAGTCCTGTTGAGACTAACGATGTTGATGTCCATCTTGAACGAGAAAGCACCATGTCCGAGGAAGATGCTGCTGATGCCATGGATAGGCAAGTATCTGATCCCGTGTATATGCAAGATGATGACCTCGAACCTGAGCAGGCAGAACATGAAGCTGAAGATAAAAACGCTGTGCCTCAAGAGGAAGATAACGTAAATGATAAAGTGCAAACTCAGCTTAGCTTTGAGAGCTCCAACCAAGATGAAACTGACCCTGAAGAGGCAGATAGTCCCATGGAGGCCAACTCCTTCGACCAGATTGGTTCTGAGGAATCCAAGGAACCTGCTCCTGAAATAGTAAGTCCTCCTGAGGATATCGCAGCTCCTGAAAACGCTGGTCCTCCCAAAGAAATTGCCGCTCCGGTAGTTGTTTCAGGTGCCGAACCTCTTTCTAAGCCTATTGAAACTCAGACTGTGAAGGGGCCAGAAAGTAAGTTTGGGTGTTCATGTTGCATGGATTTCCTGTATTAAGGGCCCCAATATTGATTGAAATTCCACTGCCCTTAATCAAGCAGTTCAAGCTATGCTCTTTCACATAAATGGTCCTATTTAGCATCCAGAGTATGTATCTAAAAGATTATTAGATATAAGTTTAGTGCCCATTTTACAACATAACATTTATTTTACATGTGCTAAATGTATAATTTATCTGTCTTTTGTCTTTAAAAATGTAAAATTTCATCCTTTTAAACACATATCGTAGATCATCACATGCCTATCCTTTTCATTGATAGCCTAAATGTTTCGATTGATCTGAAAAACAAAGCAGGATAATGTCATGTTATTATGACATCATTTGTTAATGCACCGCCGCCCCTAATGAATGTGATTACAAAAATGTTTTTAAACCTTTAATAGCGACTTGTATTATTATATACAATTACAATTCATGTACATAATTAAGCCATGGTACTGGTAGTTTTAACCTCAGAAATAATAGCATATTTTTATTTATAATTCTCATTCAGAGTCTGAAAAGATAAAGGAGTTGGAAGACAAGATCTCTCAACTTGAATGTTCGTTGAAGAGTAAAGACGACACAATCACAAGCCTTCAATCGGAAGTTCAAAGACTAAACACAGAAATTAAGAGCCGATCTGGTAATTAGTTTACGATACGATTCTTTGCTGCATAGGGTTTGTTATTGATATTATTTTTATGGCAGTGCATACTTTTACTTTTTCATGGGTTATGTTATAGATATATTATATGCACTATGCAGTCATGACTCATGTTTGAGTTACAGAATATTCAATGAAGTGCCACAGGGTCGGTTGGATCCAGTATTTCATGCTCTGAGCCGAACTCCAAGCCAAACTCAGGTTGACTCGAAATAAACAATAATTAAACTATGTTTTATGGAGAATCAATCATGTACAACCACTGTCAATGATTTTCGACAGCTTATAAAACCTTTCTTGAGATTCAGTGTTCCCCTGCACTCTGCAGTGCAGTGTTTGGGCCTTCATTGTTCAAAAGGTTTACCAATCACCAACTTCCTCTGAACAGACCGTTAATTTGCCTTCAGGATTGATTCGCAATTTGCATGGTGTACGTGTTCTTATATTCAGTGTTCTCGATTATAATATGTCTCTCAACTTTACCTGCACCTAGACCTCATGTTATCAACTTTATTCGATAAAGATGTTTAATACAGAATTTTACATAAAATAGTAACCAACTATTTTTATTACCTATGTATTACTAGATCTGGTAGAATCCAAGAAGCCTGACAATATGTTTCGGTGGGATTCCACCGTGAAATCCCACGGAGCTGTGTCGGGCTTCTTGGCTTCTGTCCAAGATCTGGGATTATAACCATACGATATTTATGCGCTACGATTTCTTTTGAATTTGGCACTTGGGATGAAATTAAAGGAAGAGTTTGATATAATTTTCATGATCCCAGAGGCAAAATTTAATTCACCAAATCGGCTAATCGGTTGTTAATTATCAAGTAATTTGGCAGTATGATGTATTTTAAACCCGTTAATTAATACCGACCAATGTTTCAGTTCCCTCAAAGAAGCCCGCAAGTGCTATTTCTGATCCCAAGTCCAAATCGGTTGGAGCTAAGAAGACCAGACCTGCATCCGCTGCTAGAGCCGTCGCTAAACCTTCCCCTGTGTCCAATGGTACGGTCACTTTAGTAACATGTTAATTGATAAATTAGATTTTACTCCTGTGACCTGTAGTTATGCTAATAGTAGGCCAATTAACTGAACAACCACTTGACTATATTCAGTATTATGTTCTGCAGGTTTATTGTTTATTGATATCACTGTAGACTCAGTCTACTAGACTGTCTCTGAACTTACTGCCTTGCCTAATGCCTAATGGTAACTTCAGTTACAAGATGAAATTATCCACATGTTATGTGTATAATGATTCACATCAGATGTAACAGATTCTGTTACTGTAATTTTAGTTGGAGTAATTATTCAGCATAACGTGGGGACTCATTTTTCGTTATTATCAAAAGTTTTGGGAAATTGGGAGATTAGGTTTGGCCAAAGTTTCAATAACCGGTGAAAAACGATGTAAATTATTTCGGTATAATTTTCATAATAAGATCACTTTTATTTATATGTAGATCTTTAGAAAATAAAGATAACTGAATCGTATTTTTGCTGTATAATTGCGATTGATCACATTGCTTTAAAAATGTTTTTCTATGATTTCCAATCACCCTAAACTTTTCAGGTGTTGCTAAGAAACCAGCCGGAAGTCCCACCAAGAAACCCGGAAGTGCTACTACCCGTGCCAGACCAGTCAGTGCTGCCCCGAAAGCAGCACCCGGTGGCAAATCATCGGTCGGCAAAAAGTAAACCAACAATCTTATATTAACACTAAATACGACCACTTAGAGCCATTATTTTGTACAACATAAGCTCTGGATTAAAGAGCAAAACTGACAAAACCAGGAAATGAATTGAGAAAGTTGAGAGCATACAGACTACAGGCTATAGAGCCACGGTTACAGGCTAACGACCAGAGAAATAATCCAACTCGACGTCTAGTTACGAAATAGTGGCACATAAGTGTCCTGAAACTATTCTTATCTCCGGCGATAAATTGCCTCCACTAATCTTCGTATATTATATTTCGTACAAGAAAGGCCTCGCTCACTATTGCACTGTGTTGCAATTTTACTGGCCTTCATTTGTTGTAACTTCTGCTATCCACGTTGTAGTAGTATTTTACCTTTTGCTGGTATCTTATCCTTTAACGTTACATACTTCGTACCCGACCCGTTTGGTTATAAGTCGATTTTATAATTATTTAAAATACGAAAAACGTTTTAGTTAACTGACATTTTGAGCGTACAACTGCTCGAATGGCTTCCAATCGAAAAATAAGCGCAGTGGCTCAGGCTAAAAAGAGGTATTTGAACGTGCAAACAATGAAAATGTTATGTATGTAGGTATGTAGGTCGTAGGATGAACAACCACTTTCCCATAAATGATATTTATTCTCCAAGACACATCAGGTTAGATTGTCTCCGAGATCACTAATTTGCAACAGATTTTCCCCCCGTAGGGCCGGAAAAGGAGGAAACAGAGTAGAGATGACGAAGGGACTCGATGGAGGTAGGATAATCTTTACATTTACATGATCATACGTGTAGCAAGTACCGGCTAAAACAGTAGTCCTATACTCCTATAGCAGTAGCTATGTAGTCTAACGGTCTTATAGAACGTTTTGACTGATGTCCAATTGAAAAGGGTTTCAACAAATTTGTTGATAATATGTTGATATTATGTTGATATGTTGATATATGGGACTACTGTTTTAGTGTTTTGACTCGCCCTGTACTTTACTGTACTATTCAGAGTCTTGTTCGTTTAGCTGAAAGGTTTTGTTAACTTCCCAGCTAGAAGATTATTATTTCGCTCTTCTTTCCAAGCCTTTTTCCTTATGTTATACGGAGAATTTAAACTTTTCTTTGCATGAAGATGATTTTAATTTTCGTTTCAATGTTTACAAATGTGCGCTATTTGTTTGTTAAAGCAGTGCCTGCATGTACCAAATGTTTATCCTTCCTTCTAACACATAGCAAACGGACGGAAAAATCTAAGCTGGGTCGACTTGGGTACCATGGGGGAAAGTGAGTAAGAAGCGAGATAAAACTATCACTGAAACACAGAGCCAGCTGATCATTTAACACATCTTTTAACTTTGGAGCTACAAATCTCTTTTGAACACTATATTATAAAGCTCAATCATACAGCCTTTTATTTGTGATATGGGAGTTGTTACTATGGGTTTGAGATGTATTATGAATGAGTGGGGAATGTGAGAGGCTAAAACATTCCAAAATACTGCGATCATTATTATTGAGAGGTGTACTGTGCAGCATGAAGTTGAGATGATTATGTTTATAAAGTTTGGTAAAGTAGAGTAATCTCTCAAGCACTGGCGAATCCTCTATTTTCCTGTTTACCCTCTGTCACTTACAGTGGTTTGCAAAATTAATTTAAAACCACAACTCTGTGAATATTTCCGTGGAATCTCATGCACGAACACCAACTGCTGTGAATCCCATTCTTTAAAATATCTCTATCATTTCGTAATTCATGGAGTTGGACAAATCAAAGGTAGAAAATAGTCGATTGGATTTGTTCGTGCACGATAGTGAAGACTGCTTGCTACGTCTGTAACCGTTCTGGAGTGTTTAGTCTGGAGCAGCAGTTATCAACTAGTTTTCTTCTGATCTTTCATTTTAAAGCGTTGATTTCTTACTGCTTTATCGGAGTGTGTTATTAGTGAACGTTTTGATTCGACTACACAATTTTCTTTTCTTAAATACAGTGATTTGGCGTGAGATTGGCTGATTCTGATTCACTCTTCCGCTCAACCCGAGCGGTATAATTTCATCATAATATTATTCCATCTAGCAACATATCATATACCACACCTTCCCAACATTCCGATCAATTATCAAATAGTTCAATACATCTGCAGCAGTCGTCACCTGTGGAAACATCTGGAATCAGTTGGCGTGGTATTAAAGCCATTACTTAGAATTACAGTTACAGCTTACTTTAGTTCCGGTGTATTAATACATCATGGCCACAAGGCTAATACTGCGCACTGCGCGCACTGTACCACATTTCATTGTGGTAACTTGTAATTAATGAAATATGTAAGTTCTATTTCTAAGCATGGACAGATTAAAACTTCCAGCTCTTATCTTCCCTATAAAACTTAAAACTTTTAAAGAGTAAACCTTAATTTCCACTAATAATACTTGTCGTCAGTGCTATAATATGCACAACGCCACCACACTGTATGTTACATAATGTAACAAAAGCGTTACCTACAACCTTTACTGGTGCACACACACAGAAAAGGCTTGATTAGATTTAATTATAAAGGAAACGACATGGCATTACCTCTAATTAACTTGAGTCCATGACCTAATGGGAGCCCGTGTGGTTTCGTGGAAATTGGAATGTGGCGAGAATAAATGGGTTTAGTGCTGTGTATTGTGAAATATTGTATGTGCTGGCGCCGGCCACAATGTCAATTGCAGTTAATGTGACTGGGACTGTAGTATAGACTAGAATAGAATGGAACTATGTATGCTATGTAAGTGAATCCTACAACCTAGTCCGGTACATTCTTCAATAATGAGATCCTATTACTCCGACTCAATGAACTGGAAAACTTGCTATTTCTTTATACTGTAGGTGAGGTTGTACCGTACAACTACACCTTCACCACACAGTATAATCGTAGTGGTAAAATAGTTGGTAATGGTAAAATAGTTGGTGTTCATGTATCCTCACCCACAGTATAATCGTAGTGGTAAAATAGTTGGTGTTCATGTATCCTCACCCACAGTATAATCGTAGTGGTAAAATAGTTGGTGTTCATGTATCCTCACCCACAGTATAATCGTAGTGGTAAAATAGTTGGTGTTCATGTATCCTCACCCACAGTATACGTATAATCGTAGTGGTAAAATAGTTGGTGTTCATGTATCCTCACCCACAGTATAATCGTAGTGGTAAAATAGTTGGTGTTCATGTATCCTCACCCACAGTATAATCGTAGTGGTAAAATAGTTGGTGTTCATGTATCCTCACCCACAGTATAATCGTAGTGGTAAAATAGTTGGTGTTCATGTATCCTCACCCACAGTATAATCGTAGTGGTAAAATAGTTGGTAGTGGTAAAATAGTTGGTGTTCATGTATCCTTCCGTTTGATATCTTTAATAAACTATACAATCTAGACATGTATTCTACACTAAGTACACTCTCCGCGTAATTAGCAAGAGTTGGTACCTGTTAACACTCCACAAGAATGTTGCTGTCATGGCTCAATTTGACTGGCATCTTACTGCTAGAGAGTAGAGAGAGATATAATGTTATGTAGAGAGAAACTTTGTAAACCCATATAATTTCAACTAGGTTTGGGTTGAAAGAATGGGCTGTTGGCTCGAGATCACTTGTTGTGGAAACAAACATATTCTAGTTTTATCAATAGAAATTGTATCCTAATTTTTAACTTTATTTAATAGTAATTATACAGCTTTATTTAACACAAAAGATGGAAAGTTTTTATTGACAGCAATGACACTAGATTTACTCATAATCCAACCTCTACCCTCCTCATTCAGCGACCAATCAACAGTTCTGAACTGTCATCAACCAATCAACTCACATCTTTACTTCTCCACCATTAACATCAATATAATATCATCTCAAATACACTAAGAAAGTAAGATGGGTGGATCAGAGAGCAAAGGTGGACAAAAAACCGGTGATATCACCTTGTACAGAAGAAACCAGGAAGCTAGATTCAAGCCTTTTGCATCATACAGCGAGGGTAGGCTCCAATAATTGTACTGAAGCAGTTTAGTGTTGTCACGTCTTGTCAAACTCAAATGAGGTTGATATAATATCTTTCAATCTCTCGTATTTCTAATTGGTTCGGGGTTATCCACTAAGAATTTCCAAATTTCAAATTAAAATACTCTTAAAAAGAGAAGAGGGAGACATTTTCATTAATCTCATGAGCCAGTACGTTGTTTTAATGTCTTGATAAATGCGTGTAATCGTGGTATTTACAGTTTTACGTATTATCGCTTGAAAAGGGAAAATGGTTGATTATCAATATACCATTAGCAGAGCATTAGTGAGAGTAATTCAATGTGATTTGCCTGTCATGTCACGGTGAAATCGGTAATATTCCTCAGGGTAAATATCTGAAAATCATCGTCCCTAGCAGTAATAATATCTCTTCCTCGCCGTTTTTTATCTTATCGTTATCATGTTTGCACGCATGACGTGTAACCGTTAAAGCATGCTGTATGTAACCAACACAGGTCATCGTCGTATGTTATCTTTAAACAAATCCGATTGGTAAGATTTTAAATCTTAGTTTTTGGATAATTATTAGCCGAGTAAAAAATGTAATAATAGACTTATATTATTAGACAGTTAGACTGTGCAATATAATTAGCTTAGACCCAGTGAACTCTTCTTATCTCATATTATATTATCATTTATCTGAAATGTTGCAATTCTCAAATTTGTATTACGCTAAATGTGATATTCCTAGAATGAGTAATAGAACCCACGCCAAGATTAAATCACGCCCACACCCACACCCACACCCACACCCACACCCACACCCACACACACACACACACACACACACACACACACACACACACACACACACACACACACACACACACACACACACACACACACACACACACACACACACACACACACACACACACACACACACACACACACACACACACACACACACACACACACACACACACACACACACACACACACCCACACCCACACACACACACACACACACCCACACCCACACACACACACACACACACACACACACACATACACACACACACACACACACACACACCCACACCCTGCATACCAGCCCTCTAATTCTTACCTGACCAACACCTCCCAACCCTCACACACTTACAGGAGTTCTCTCTAGTTCTTGTTAACAACAATCAGACCCACACCCTCTCTCTCTCTCTCTCTCTCTCTCTCTCGCTCTCTCTCTCTCTCTCTCTCTCTCTCTCTCTCTCTCTCTCGCTCTCTCTCTCTCTATCTCTCTCTATCTCTCTCTATCTCTCTCTCTCTCTCTCTCTCCCTCTCTCTCTATCTCTATCTCTATCTTCCTCTCTATCTCTCTCTCTCGCTCTCTCTCTCTCTCTCTCTCTCTCTCTCTCTCTCTCTCTCTCTCTCTCTCTCTCTCTCTCTCTCTCTCTCTCTCTCTCTCTCTCTCTCTCTCTCTCTCTCTCTCTCTCTCTCTCTCTCTCTCTCTCTCTCTCTCTCTCTCTCTCTCTCTCTCTCTCTCTCTCTCTCTCTCTCTCTTTCTCTCTCTCTCTCTCTCTCTCTCTCTCTCTCTCTCTCTATCTCTCTCTATCTCTCTCTCTCTCTCTCTCTTTATCTCTATCTCTATCTCTATCTTCCTCTCTATCTCTCTCTCCTCACTCCATCCCTCCCTACAGTTACGCATACTAACACTCTGTAATCTGTATTCGCATAATATCATAACACTGTCCTGGAGCCGAGATTTGTAAATTTCTGGAGAGTTTGTAAAAATTATCTGACAGTTGTGGGAATGTTCACGGTGGTAATATAATGCTGTGATTTTTAACTACTTACCTACTGCATACTAAGTGCTTTACTCGCTCTGTTGACGTGGTAGCACATTCTCAGTAATATTACAACGAGTTCACTGCTATTTCCTACTTGCTCTACTCGACTTGTAGATTTACAGAAATCCCAAATGGTGTAAGAAGTCTTTTCCATTCCAATGTGATGGTGTGACTAGTAGATAAGTATATAGTACATTATAATATTATGTGGATTATATTGAATTGTAGCCTGTATGACAAAATTATTTTAAGCACGTGCACATCATATCCTAAGGAAAACGTTAAGGTCATGAACAAAATTTAGTTAGTTACATTGACAAAACTTCAACTATGTAGAGATCACCTTTCCCAAGAACAGCAAGTGTCATCCTTTGACAACCTGAACTTTTAAACACTCTTGACAAGTTTGAGGGTTTGCTCCAAGAGGAGAAGTTGGAGGAGTATAACAAACAGAAGGTTTACACAAAGTTTAATGCTGTAGTCTACCTTCAGAAACGGGCAATTCCACATTTACACAACCCACTTACCGCTGTGATTTCCCCGGGCTGCGAGCTCGTTTGTCTTTTATCTTCAGTGGCTTGTACAAAGCCAATTATATTATGGGACGCAAAGTAAGCCTGAAATGGGAATACTGCCAGCTTATACTTATAATACTCGCTCCAATAATATTATAAAGCCAATGGCTTTGGGTATGAAAATTGTCAAATTAAACTACCTACATATCAATATTTGGCAAACTCTGCTCATGATGCTGAACCAACTTGTCGTTAGGGCTACACTACCCAGGAGCAGATGCTATTCTTAGCTCTATATTTCAAATAGGGTCTCGTACGTAGCTGTATTCTCAATTATATTTAGACTTTATGTGGATAATATATAATATATAATATAATATAATATATATATCTCACTTTCAAGATATAAAAATATATCCGACCTCTTAAATTTTTTTCTTGGCAGCACGTTCAACTTTTGATGTAGCACAGCATTGCACCCGATATTTTACAACCCCTATTGTTGTTTTCTTAACTGTAAAGACAAGAAGTTTTTATAACCATTTAATATATTAGCACCAGGATTTACTTATTTTATTAATAAGTTAATTAGTTAATCAATCATTCGATCAGTAAAAAGAGTAAGAATGACCTTATTTTCAGAGGAGCACGCAGTGAAGTTAATGCTCCGAGGACGTGGGATTGTCTGCTATCCCCCAACTGATTTCTCCCTGGACGGAATCAGCTCGGAGAAGCCGGATGAGACTCTGAAGATTAACTGGGTTTATGGTTACCGGGGCCGAGACAGTCAGGATAATATCTACTCCCTGCCTAGCAGTAAGTTGTTGTTTCTGTTTCGTGTATTGCATTGTTTAGGCTTCTGGTTAAAAGCTTTGTTCCTTTTAATTATGGTTAATTAAATCTGCACAAAAGGCAACATGATTCGACCACAATTAAACCCAAATTTATACTATCCACTGCGTGTTTTACAGCCAAAACATGACCAAGTTGCTGATGTTGGTTTGACACCCAACTAACCCTACACTTTCCCCCAGACGAGTTGCTCTACTACCAAGCAGCTGTAGGAGTAATCTACAACCCGGCTACCAAGACCCAGCGCTTCTACCAGGGCCACAACGATGATATCAAGAGTATCGCCCTGAACCCAGCTAACCCCAGTATTGTAGCTACGGGGCAAGCAGCTGGACACGACGAGAAGGAGGGCGATGTGAGTGTAACACTTCTTTTTAACCCACGGATACAGGTGTTACACATTGTGTTACAGGTGTAACACGTGCTGTTACAGGTGTAACACATTGTGTTACAGGTGTTACACGTACTGTAACAGGTGTTAAACATTGTGTTACAGAGTTACAGGTGTTACACATTGTGTTACTGGTGTTACACATTGTGTTACTGGTGTAACACGTGCTGTTACAGGTGTTACACATTGTGTTACAGCTGTTACACATTGTGTTACAGGTGTAACACATTGTGTTACTGGTGTTACACATTGTGTTACTGGTGTAACACTGCAACTGTACATGTAACACGTCACACACTGTTCGCACACTCGCTCGCAAAGGGCCGCTTTGTTGTTTGTTTAACATACTTGAATACCTTAGCTTCACACACACACACACGCTTGTAATTTGTACGTGTCATTAAATTGTGTAAGTCCGGTCATGAAAACAGGTGACGATCAAATTAAAATACATTTAATGATCGCTACCTTTATACATTATACATGTACATCATGTACATTGTACATATTAAAGCTTTGTTTATAGCTTTGTGGCAATATTAACCCTCTTTACATAACTGGTATAATTCCAGAAAAGAAAGAAAACCCGCTATATTTATCAAGATTGTCATCTATATTAGAGTGGCATTATAATACAGTAAGGGCACTTCAGAACACTATTGAAATGTGTATGAAAAGTCCCCCGTAGTCGTGCTTCTAAGGGGCTAGGACCAACATAATTTAGTAGATCGCTAGACTCTTTGTTACAGTGCCAAACATTTCATCCTTTCAAACAATCATGTCAGTCGTGTTTGAATATTTCTGTTCGTGCGAAATCAAAGGGAAACTGTTAGATCATGCTTGCCCTCTGGTTACATATTATTTAGTTGTTGTGGTGAAAACAGCAGTTTGTAGATCATGTTTGCCCTCTGGTTACATATTATTTAGTTGTTGTGGTGAAAACAGTAGTTTGTAGATCATGTTTGCCCTCTGGTTACATATTATTTAGTTGTTGTGGTGAAAACAGTAGTTTGTAGATCATGTTTGCCCTCTGGTTACATATTATTTAGTTGTTGTGGTGAAAACAGCAGTTTGTAGATTATGCTTGCCCTCTGGTTACATATTATTTAGTTGTTGTGGTGAAAACAGCAGTTTGTAGATTATGCTTGCCCTCTGGTTACATATTATTTAGTTGTTGTGGTGAAAACAGCAGTTTGTAGATTATGCTTGCCCTCTGGTTACATATTATTTAGTTGTTGTGGTGAAAACAGCAGTTTGTAGATTATGCTTGCCTTGTGGTTACATATTATTTAGTTGTTGTGGTGAAAACAGCAGTTTGTAGATTATGCTTGCCCTCTGGTTACATATTATTTAGTTGTTGTGGTGAAAACAGCAGTTTGTAGATTATGCTTGCCCTCTGGTTACATATTACTAGCAGGAACCCGTCTAACCCTAAAATGGTGTCAAGACTCAAGAGACTAAAACAATTATTACCTATTTAATTCGCATTTTTGACACCACTTGGGGTACCAAATTTTGGGCTCTAAAACTCCTATTTCTTGGCCAATTTTTTATTTTTTCATGCGGATTTGGAGGCCATTAAAGCATTTGACCCAGTCAAAAAAGTTTTAGTTGTATATCTTTTACGGTTTTTGCAGAAATTCGCGTTAAAGTTGATGCCGTGGTGTCAGTAAAATGGCACAGATAAATATATATATATCGTCTCGCTTTATATATAGTAAGATTTAGTTGTTGTGGTGAAAACAGCAGTTTGTAGATTATGTTTGCCTTCTGGTTACATATTATTTAGTTGTTGTGGTGAAAACAGCAGTTTGTAGATCATGTTTGCCCTCTGGTTACATATTATTTAGTTGTTGTGGTGAAAACAGCAGTTTGTAGATCATGCTTGCCCTCTGGTTACATATTATTTAGTTGTTGTGGTGAAAACAGCAGTTTGTAGATCATGCTTGCCCTCTGGTTACATATTATTTAGTTGTTGTGGTGAAAACAGCAGTTTGTAGATTATGCTTGCCCTCTGGTTACATATTATTTAGTTGTTGTGGTGAAAACAGCAGTTTGTAGATCATGCTTGCCTTGTGGTTACATATTATTTAGTTGTTGTGGTGAAAACAGCAGTTTGTAGATTATGCTTGCCTTCTGGTTACATATTATTTAGTTGTTGTGGTGAAAACAGCAGTTTTTAGATCATGTTTGCCCTCTGGTTACATATTATTTAGTTGTTGTGGTGAAAACAGCAGTTTGTAGATTATGCTTGCCTTCTGGTTACATATTATTTAGTTGTTGTGGTGAAAACAGCAGTTTGTAGATCATGTTTGCCCTCTGGTTACATATTATTTAGTTGTTATGGTGAAAACAGCAGTTTGTAGATCATGTTTGCCCTCTGGTTACATATTATTTAGTTGTTGTGGTGAAAACAGCAGTTTGTAGATCATGTTTGCCCTCTGGTTACATATTATTTAGTTGTTGTGGTGAAAACAGCAGTTTGTAGATCATGTTTGCCCTCTGGTTACATATTATTTAGTTGTTGTGGTGAAAACAGCAGTTTGTAGATCATGTTTGCCCTCTGGTTACATATTATTTAGTTGTTGTGGTGAAAACAGCAGTTTGTAGATCATGTTTGCCCTCTGGTTACATATTATTTAGTTGTTGTGGTGAAAACAGCAGTTTGTAGATTATGCTTGCCCTCTGGTTACATATTATTTAGTTGTTGTGGTGAAAACAGCAGTTTGTAGATTATGCTTGCCCTCTGGTTACATATTATTTAGTTGTTGTGGTGAAAACAGCAGTTTGTAGATCATGTTTGCCTTGTGGTTACATATTATTTAGTTGTTGTGGTGAAAACAGCAGTTTGTAGATCATGTTTGCCTTGTGGTTACATATTATTTAGTTGTTGTGGTGAAAACAGCAGTTTGTAGATCATGTTTGCCCTCTGGTTACATATTATTTAGTTGTTGTGGTGAAAACAGCAGTTTGTAGATTATGTTTGCCCTCTGGTTACATATTATTTAGTTGTTGTGGTGAAAACAGCAGTTTGTAGATTATGCTTGCCTTCTGGTTACATATTATTTAGTTGTTGTGGTGAAAACAGCAGTTTGTAGATCATGTTTGCCCTCTGGTTACATATTATTTAGTTGTTGTGGTGAAAACAGCAGTTTGTAGATTATGTTTGCCCTCTGGTTACATATTATTTAGTTGTTGTGGTGAAAACAGCAGTTTGTAGATCATGCTTGCCCTCTGGTTACATATTATTTAGTTGTTGTGGTGAAAACAGCAGTTTGTAGATTATGCTTGCCCTCTGGTTACATATTATTTAGTTGTTGTGGTGAAAACAGCAGTTTGTAGATTATGCTTGCCCTCTGGTTACATATTATTTAGTTGTTGTGGTGAAAACAGCAGTTTGTAGATTATGCTTGCCCTCTGGTTACATATTATTTAGTTGTTGTGGTGAAAACAGCAGTTTGTAGATTATGCTTGCCCTCTGGTTACATATTATTTAGTTGTTGTGGTGAAAACAGCAGTTTGTAGATTATGCTTGCCCTCTGGTTACATATTATTTAGTTGTTGTGGTGAAAACAGCAGTTTGTAGATCATGTTTGCCCTCTGGTTACATATTATTTAGTTGTTGTGGTGAAAACAGCAGCTTGTAGATTATGTTTGCCCTCTGGTTACATATTATTTAGTTGTTGTGGTGAAAACAGCAGTTTGTAGATTATGCTTGCCCTCTGGTTATATATTATTTAGTTGTTGTGGTGAAAACAGCAGTTTGTAGATTATGCTTGCCCTCTGGTTACATATTATTTAGTTGTTGTGGTGAAAACAGCAGTTTGTAGATTATGCTTGCCCTCTGGTTACATATTATTTAGTTGTTGTGGTGAAAACAGCAGTTTGTAGATCATGTTTGCCCTCTGGTTACATATTATTTAGTTGTTGTGGTGAAAACAGCAGTTTGTAGATTATGCTTGCCCTCTGGTTACATATTATTTAGTTGTTGTGGTGAAAACAGCAGTTTGTAGATCATGTTTGCCCTCTGGTTACATATTATTTAGTTGTTGTGGTGAAAACAGCAGTTTGTAGATTATGCTTGCCCTCTGGTTACATATTATTTAGTTGTTGTGGTGAAAACAGCAGTTTGTAGATTATGCTTGCCCTCTGGTTACATATTATTTAGTTGTTGTGGTGAAAACAGCAGTTTGTAGATTATGCTTGCCCTCTGGTTACATATTATTTAGTTGTTGTGGTGAAAACAGCAGTTTGTAGATTATGTTTGCCCTCTGGTTACATATTATTTAGTTGTTGTGGTGAAAACAGCAGTTTGTAGATTATGCTTGCCCTCTGGTTACATATTATTTAGTTGTTGTGGTGAAAACAGCAGTTTGTAGATTATGCTTGCCCTCTGGTTACATATTATTTAGTTGTTGTGGTGAAAACAGCAGTTTGTAGATTATGCTTGCCCTCTGGTTACATATTATTTAGTTGTTGTGGTGAAAACAGCAGTTTGTAGATCATGCTTGCCTTCTGGTTACATATTATTTAGTTGTTGTGGTGAAAACAGCAGTTTGTAACTAATTACAACTTGCTAACATTTAACTTAAATTCGTATGATAATTTAATCATCTGATGAAGGACAATCATCAATTCACCGTCCGAGCTAACTGACTAAACAATTTTGTGTGTTCATTAAATTTTCTGACGTGTTTAATAAGATTCGAGTTTAAAGGATAAGCTGTTTCTGGAATGATAGATTATCTTGTTCTTACTCAAGTTTAGTCAGATATTCTAAATATTTAATCTAATGAGACTCAATAGTCAATAACTGTTCAGTGTTAATAATAAAATAATAATTTAAACTTATAGATTATAGTGGCACAACAACTTAAAATGCACAGGTGTGCCACGAAAACAAGTCAGGATACAAGAAAACCTGAAAAGCAATCCACATTTAGGTTCCAAACCATAGAAAATTG